TTGCAATATTACAACATTTCACTAAAAACTGACTAAAATGTAAAAAATGTAAAAACACATATATTTCTGAATTAGAGGCCTCCTACAACAACATTTAAAAGGTGAAAGAATTTTTTCACAGGTTTTTTCTATGTTTGGGTCTTCTAGGGTTAAACAGATCTCGACTAATCTAATAACAGCATTAATTAGATTTGAGAGCAGGAAGCACTCAAAATTAATTATCTACAAATTATTTATTTATATTTGAATATGCACAAAAAACAAACAAACACACAATGCACGTTCACACATGAGATGCTGCACTTTAAGGTTTGAGATATCCACTGTAAAACCATAACAAAAATGTTTAAAGCTTGCATCTATTATGACCAAATAATCAACCATTTCATGTGAATAAAATGTAAACCAGCAACAAAGCCTTGGTGCATAAAGAGTTAAACTGTTAGACAGCCCGTGTGTGTTAATCAAATTTTGATATTAAGCAGTGGAAACAACAGGGGAACGAAAACAATCCAGTCCGCCTTTGTCTGGAAATGCCACACTGTAACGCACTTAACGCGAAGCCCCTCCTTACTATGCAAGTCAACAAGTGGCATTCCCCCAAGCCGAATGGTACTCGTTTGGGAATCCAGGCGCCTTGCCAAAGCCCCATATTCTATGAGCATGACCCTCTGTAGAGCTCCGTTTTGCTGCCGTTATGGAGCAGCTGCTCCGGGACCATTAGCCCCCACTTTAGTTTCACATCCCTCCTTGCTTGAATTGCTTACATCTTAACTTTTCCCCCCATCATATGTCACCAGAGAACATGTCAGCATGTGATGTATATAATAGTTGCTCAAATAAAAAGTGGCACTGATTAAAAATTAAATGGATGTGTGATTGGTAGTGCAGATTACAAGATCACTGAAGCATATCAGTTGCCACACTTGCCAAAAACAAGCACATACAAACACTTAATGTACACCAGCAAACAAATAAAACGTTTATGCAAATATAGCATGCAGATTTTAGCAGGTATTATTCTAATTTATTTTTTAATGATTTCCATGCAAAATCTACAAATCAAAGTCTTGCAGCTCTGGCTGTAAAAGAATGAAATAGAGCTGGTGCCGTTCTTGTCATTTTGACCCTCTTTGTTTTGATATGGCACCTCAGGCTGTATAACTTGATGACTGCAATTAGGTCATTATAAAATAAAAAAAAACTTGTATTTTGCAATTACGTGCAAGCAACGCACTCAGCCTAGTGTGCAATCACACGGAGTTCAGTGAATAAAATGAGCTTAATCTGAGCATTAACTAAATATCAAAAGACATATTTATAAAAACACGATCATTGCACTAGCAATGACTGTCGAAAACACACTAAAAGCACTAAGAAAGAGCCGGTTGCAGAGGAGAGATGGAGGCTGCTGTACGTGCGCGCACACAAATGCTTCTGTGGCGCGTGAATGCTGCAGAGCGTGTTTGTTTGCCACTGTTATCCACCCACTAAACTCAGATAATCAGCGGCTTACACAGACCTACATGGCTACAGACCTCGACGAAAACGGCCACAAATGAAACAAAACAAGTCTAATTTACGACAATAATTTTAATCTACTCGGTCGGGGAAACTTTGTTTGTCTATATGCGGTTTAGTCACATTTTATCACGCGATCACGATAGTTTAATTATATCAATTTAGTCAGTGTTTCCAGCACCGCTATTTTGCATCTTTCCGTCGCGTTGTGTTCGCTGAATGCAATGAACACCGCGCGAGATGACCAATTCTCGAACAAATGACTCTTATGAACCGGTTCTTTTTAGTGAAAAGATTCACGAAGCAGAAGAGTTGAGCTCACGACCGAGTTAGCGATTTGAGTCATATAGTGAATCATTCAGAGCCGTCACTGAGTTCACAAATGACTCCCTCGAACGCGAGTCATTTTTCGTTCATGTCTATTGTAATACATTAATAAATAAATAAAAAATCTGTATGTTACAAGAAAAATAAGATAACTGTTTAATGAAATACACATGTAAAGCTGATTCGCGCTAAAGGGAGAACGTAGGTAAGAATGCAAGATGAGGGACATTCCCCCCAAATATTAATAAAAAAATACCGTGATATTTATATTACATAAATACAGACATAAGTGACATCATTTCAAACACACAGTTATACTAAATAAACCTAGAAAATATCCGAATCATTTTAGCCCTTTTTGTGACCAAAGCACCATTTTTATAGTTAGACCCTTTATCACAACACAGTGACCGTTAAATGAACTCCACTTAGAAAGTTAAAAATTAAAGATGATATGCAATCAAAGCACATTTTAAATTCATATCCACTTCACAGTCTTTTGCAACTGTGTTCCCATCCAACAATGGAGAGACCAAAAGTGTCAGAGTTTAATGCACTAGATGGTGAGCATGGACACCGGCGATTCTGAACGACCATTTGTATCAAGCAATTGTAGAATTTTGCAACTAAAAACTAATTTGGCCCCAAAATGTTTCATTTGAGGGGCCAACGACTTCCCAGTAGCATCAGCATCATTACTGCAATATATAGCCTATTCTCACACGTTCAGATGAGAACTATTTGGACCATCAAACATACAATCTCTCAATGCAAACCACACACACAAACCTTCAAGCTCGACTTCAGCGGCGCTTTCGCAGTCATCTGTGCAATCTCTTCCTCTGAGTACTCTTTCAAGCTCCCGTCTTGCATGAGCACCGTGTACACGTTGCGCCGATGGCCGGTCGAAGCATCTCTGTTGTCTTGTTTGACAGCATGGATCACTCCCGTGAGCGGAGCCGCGTCTCCCGTTAAACCCGGCGCGTAAACGCGGCTCCCAATGACCGAGCGCTTCACCAGCCGCCGCGTATGCATAGTTGATTATAACAATGAAATGCGCAAATAAAAATAACTTCTATCTTTGCACGGCAATGTCGCTTTAAAAACAAGAAATGTCACGCTGACAAAACCCGAACGGACTGACCGTCATAACGGGCCGAACATGCGAATAATGCGACAACATTACCACTGATCTGGACCGCATCCACATATATCACCGGCGCGAGCAGTGAACCGTTACAACATGCAAATGAGCTACGCTTGATAACTTCTCTGTCCGTCTGACCAAAGCACCCCGACCGGCAACCGATATATTTCTTCTGTCGACCTGTTTGTTTTGCTTGCCGTTCCCTTAAAGCTGACGGATTGTGGTAAAACACGGCGCGGAGCGGCAGTTTTGGATCGATAAACACGATGTATTTTTCACAATACACACAGCGGGCATTTATGTGATAAATCACCGAGGAGCGGACCACAAGAAATTTGATTCATATTATAATATAAATGAGCGTCTCCAGTGTCGAGGGTGCTGTTTTAATAAGTAGTTTTCACCCCATATCGCCGTAAATCCGGTTTCGTGTGAGAAAGACTCCATTCCGGAAAATCCATCCGGGTTTTCTAGAGCCACTGGCTCTACCGGCGGAATGTCGCCTGTAAACATGTGCGCTCGCGCAGCCAGTGTGCGTTCTGATTGGCTGGCGGCACACACGCCTCCACGCGCTCGCGCTCGCGCTCGCCGTCTCCTGCAGTTTCTCTCCAAACACAAGCGACGAGCGCTGCTGCGATTAAAACAATGACGCACGGATGAGAAGAGGAGAGTCTTTGAGTAGTTATTATTTAGGTAAGCCGGTCAATGTTCATAACATTAATAACAGTGATGACAATATCCCGGCACAGCAGGGTCATAGGCGTCTGTGTGTGACCCTGCGAGAATGATTGACAGGCGGCAGGGATTCCCGAGGGACCTCTGTGGCGGGATCTGTCGGTAGTAGAATATAACTGTTTATGGAAAATCACTCATACTCGTCACATACCAAAACATAAACTTGTCCGACTCTGAACATAATGCAAATGTTTAAACGTGATTTGTTATGTTGAGGAAGGAAATGCTGTTGACATATTTCTATTTTTGACGTCTTAAAGGGATAGTTCACCCAAAAATGGGGATCTTCTGTTAGTCATCCTCTTGTTGTTCCAAACCTGTGTTTCTTTCTTCCATAGAACACAACAGGATAACAGCCTGTCTCACTATTAACATGATGATTATTTCTGGCTGCACTATTCCTTTAATGCATACTTAAATGATCTTAAATACCAAATGTAATAGCGACCTTTAAGAAAATTATACTATATATCCACCTTATTCTTCAATGCGGAAGTAAGCCGTTTTCTGTGAATGTGCGAGATTTCCGGTTCATTAGCTGCCTTAGGGAAATAACGAGAAGAATAACAAAGTGCAGTAAACGGTCAAACTGTTTGCACTACAAGCCAGTGTGTTCATAATGAAGATAATACATTAAAATAATATGGAAAGACACACCAATTTGCAATATCAAGCAGCAAAAAGAGATGTTTTGCACAGCTAAATATAGCTGGACGCAGATGAGACTGGAAGCCAGACACATTAAATTTACAAATGGCTCTTACGGTAAAAATCAAGTGGATAGTGTAAATGTGGGTATTATGTAATCTAGACATTCTACATGTTGTCACCGCTTCACTGCCATTCACAACTCCTCTCCTCATAGGATGTCCATTGGATTTGCTCTTCAGAATTTTGTCTGAAGTAGTAGGTCATTCAGGTGACCATTCATGTGCTTTTCACCTTATGTTTTCTAAATAATGTGAATTTGGACTAATATTTTGAGATACTGTTTAGGCATATTCGGGCAGAGAAAAAAAAACTTTATAATTCAGACTAACATTATGTTAGTCCTTTAAAATTTAAAATTATGACAAATAATATCAGTGTAATTTAGGCTACTGTCAGTCGCAAACTCACAAACTTGAACACAGTGAAAGTAACAGTATATCCCAGAGACCTCAGTCTCTTTCTTAATTTGACCACACTGAAATAACTTTCAAGCAGACACATGGAAACAATCACTGTTACAATCCATTTTTTGAATGTAATGTTTACTAGTAAACTTTACTAATGTTTAAATTTCACTTTTATGTATTTTACATTTATTCAAAGTGACTTAGAGAGCATTCAGACAATACATTTTATCAGCACATGCTAAAATTATGAAATTACTAGTAATAAATACTGTAAGTAGATTAGTTAGTAGATTTTGTTTTTCATTTAAAACACACTAAGAAATGACGTTTTTTTCTGTTGATAAAAGTTTAGTTTTTTTTGTCAAAATAGTAGAAATAATAGTAGTAGATGTAGCATACTGACTCAGAGATCATGTTATTACAGTTTTAAGTGTGTAATTTGCATCGATTACATTTAAAAGTAATCCACCTGCTTGTGTGCATTATATATAAGCCTTAATTGAACAATTTACCTTTGTGAATGGTTAAGCACAAACATGTGCATGTTGTATATGCATGTCAGTGTGAGTTCTGAATCGATTGTAGCATTGATCAAAGAACCGCACTTCTTGCATAGCCTCTCAAAGTATAATATAATTACTGTGTGCTTGTGGGCATGATTCGCTTATAACAAACTGTATATAGGAATAACCCCTTAAGGCATGGCTGAAAAGATTTCATCTTTTAACAAATAATTTATCCTTATGAAGTGAAAATAAAAAAATCTATTCAATGCCCTTGTTTGCTGCCGCTCCCTTATGGAGTACTTGCATTGAAAATGCATGTTGCTTTGACCACAGATTCAATCAATACCTGGCTGGACAGTGAAATATGTTCTTAAATCCCCTAATACCAGTGCACTGACATGATAATAAAACCGCCTTATCGAAGGTTGTTTTTCTACACTTGAGAACTTAGTTTATTAGGATGTATTGGCAGATTAAATATCAAGAGATTATTGTGCTTTTGTGCACTAAGCCAGTAGAAAGGTACTTTCTTGTCATAAGATTGCCATGATGCAATGATGCTAATATTATATATATATATTGAATAAACATTTACACACATTTTATTATTAGTCCAGCATGACTATTTGTTTAATAAGCAAATACCACAATATGATTATGATGAAATAAACAAATGTAAAATCCATTCTTATTTACAACTTAATACCCAAAATTTGGTTAGAGGGAGAAACCAAATATTCAATGTTTCACCATGATATTAAATAAAACAAGCATCTTCTTAATATGGAACCTGTACCAAAACGACGTACCATTACAAGCAAACACGGACAACATTTGGACTCCATCCACAGTCCTTAATTAAACCTCACATTTTAAATAGTGCTAAAGAACTCCAAAGAAATACATATTCCTGTTATTAGCCTTTTAAATGTTAATAAAACTCCTTTAAACTTTCTTTACTTAAAAATGCATCTAGAAAACAGCATGTATTCCACTGACTCTTAAAGTTTCATTAGTTCCTCAATATACAAACTAAAAGTTCCACATGCTGTCATTTGAGAGCTGCTGCCAATTATTACAGAACTATACTTAAACATTGACATAATTTAATAGATCATAAAAGTCTTTTGAATATTTACAAGTGTCTCTTGGCATGAAGTTGTCCCATGCAGCGTCTGGATGCGCTATGCGTTTTTGATTATACTGCTACATGAATGTAAAAGCAGCTAAATGCATACCTGATAATAAAGTACATAAGCTGCCAGGCAAAGCTGCAGTGTGGCAGTACCATGATGTCTCTTTTCTCCTGTGCTTTTCAGCCTTTTGAAATGTTGCGTACCTATTACATGTAAAAACCAAACAATATTTGAAATATATAATGTATCTGACACTCAATCAATACAGCTGTGTCAATAAAAAAGATCACGCATACATATCGATAACATAGCTCAATTACATCACAAGTGGCAATAAGTGAACAATTGAAAGGATGTGAACTCACACCAGCAATAAATAGCCAACTTTTCATTAATACCGTTTTAGTACACTCATAAATGAGTGTGCTTAACTTTGCGTACCTAAAAGGTCACTTCCTCACCAGAGCCTGTGATTTGACACACTGAATATAAAACATTTTAAACAGCTCAGAATGATGGCAACATTTAAATGTTCCTCTTTTATATTTCGATATGCCTTATGTGAACATCGCTTGCTTACTACTTGTGAAAGTAAATGCTCCAGCAGTTCTGAATGATTAAAATGAGTGTAGTTCCTTAATGGACTGAGCTGAGCGGTCTGCTGTTGACTCGATCTGATTGGTTCTCTTCTTGGGGTTATAGAAGGACACAACTCTGTCAGTTGCTCAACTAGTATCATGTGAAAACAGGCAGACAGAGTGGAGCTCACAGCTGGTGCAGCATGCAAACGCATGGAAACCACTAGTACACATTATGAATAAAATATTTCTCGTAAGAGCACAGCCATTGGTGTCACTTTGTTTTGAAAAGTGGTGGAGACTTGGGAAGGGGGTTACACAGATGTGCTGCTTATTATGTCACAAAACGGTGAAGGCTTAGCTCATGTATATTAATTAGGATATGCAAACATAATTAAACATGATCTTTTGCTGTATGTACAGATCACGTGTGAAGTAGCATATTTTATATCGAATCTGAAATAACATTAGCATTATACATTTTTATCATTTAAACTAATTTCAGTCACATTTGTGTTGCTATGTTCTCAATGCAGCAGTTATTCTTGCTTATATTTATACATGTGTTAATGTTTAATCTTTGGTCTAGCAAAAAAGTATTCCTTTGTGTATAAGAGGTTTCAGGCTCTAATTCGCCCTAATGTAACTCTTTATTTTAATAAACCATAATTACAGCTGTACATTAGTGGATATCAGTAGTGGGGTCGCATTTGTTAGCATTTTGTTTTGTGATTTCACTAGAACGGGAACGAGCCGTGGAAAGCGATTAGAGCCGACGTGTGTATTGGAGAGCAACAGCCATCGCTGTTGTCCAAATGCTCTGAAAACTCCAGCTCAACAAATGGAGATGCCATCTCTGTGTTAGATGCATCCCTACTGCAAGCTATTTCATAATGTGTGGGGACAAAATTGGCAAAGTGGTGGGAATATATCTGTCATAAATGATGCCAATGAGGGGCACCTAAGGGGCAACTTGGGTTTGTGGTACCCAAATTTTCACATGAAAAGCTTAACAAACCCTCTTCTGAGCAACTCTAGAGTGTTTCATTTCCTGTGCTGGGTCACAGGTCTGAATGAACCCTTTCATTTATAATATTCAAAAACAATGCGCTGCATA